ATGGATGGATGGATGGATGGATGGATGGATGGATGGATGGATGGATGAGCATGGTGGTTGTGTTTCAGAGATGTTCAGTCTGTATTTGGACTCAGACACTCCTCCTGTCTGTGCATCCAGTCGGACCGAGCTCTTCCATGCTAACATGTCTATACTGGTTCTGTTTCCTCCTCCCTAAGCCCCCTCCCAAGCCATCACCCCAACTTCTACAGCACACCCCCCATCTGTCCAGCGAACCCCCCAACAATAATCTGTTGCAACCTCCAGAAAAACACACCTGTCTTCTGATTTTGGTTTTGTCAGTTTTTCATTTTTACTCTCAGAAACTTCCTGGTTTCTGTTTTCAGTTCACTTTTAGTTTTTATTCTTGTTTTTTTTTTAACATGTCTTTTATTTAATCCTCTAACCCTTCTCCATCCAACCCTCCTTCCCCCCACCCTGACCTTTGACCCCTCTCGTACCTCCACCCTTGAACCCCGTACTTCCTCCCCCCTCCACATCCTCTTCCTCCTCCCTCCAGTTTAGAGACCGCCAAATCCACCGCCCAGTCCTCCTCCATGCCGTCTCCCGTTGACCTGACCATGAGCTTCACCCAGCCCGCCCCCCCTGCCTCGTCCTCCTCCTCCTCCCCCCTGGCAGCGATGGGTGCCGCGCTGCCCCATGCTCCAATCCTGGGCGCTCCCTACGCCTTTCCCCTCTCCAGCCTCCTGGGAGTGAAATCCATCCCCTACCTGGCCCTCTCCACCCCTCCCACCTCAGCAGCAGCGGCGGCGGCTGCCGCCGCCATCGGAGCACCAATGTTACCCAGCCCGGTGTCGACAGCAACGGTTCCTGTCTCGGCTCACGCGGCGGCTGCCCTAGCCTCCTACACGGCCAAGATCTCGTCTTCAGCCAACGGAATGAAGAAGCCAGAGAGGCAGAAGTTTGCTCCGTACTGACGGAGGAGGCCGGCGTCTCCTGGGCCGAGCGTCAAACTGCAGCAACTTTTCTTTTTCACACTCTGAACTCTGTCGTTTCCGTCTTTATCCTCCTCTTCCTGCTGCTAACAGACAAAACACTGTGGGATTACTGGAACATGCATGGTTTCACATCAACACCAATATATACAAGAAAAATTAGCAAAGCTCACATACAGAGTCACGTTTCATACATTTAATGAGAAAAATAAAATAAAGCTGTGGCACTAACTCGGATTCAGCACCGGTAAAAATAACTCAAAAATCATAGAAAACATGACAAATACTTCTGGTTTTTTGCATCTGGTTTTACTGTGACGTCATTTAAAAAATAAACCGAGCAGGCTTCACTACATATTTAAACCCCTCCAGCTCACAGCCCGGCTGATTAATTTCACTCACAGCATGAAGGAGCGTTTTAAAATATGACAATCACCATAAAGCTGCAATGGTTACACTCAGGGTCATCGAGTCCGCTTCACACCCCGTCCTCCTGTAAGAGTAATCCTGGAAAATGTTTAGATAAATGTAGAAAAAGTTAACATTCCTTCATATTCAGACCAATCGTGTGTTTTTTGGAACACAGCACGTAGAATTCACTAAATCTGCAGCTTGGACCGCCGGCCCGCTGGACCTTTGCAGGTCGAATGTGGGTTCAACCGTTTTAAACACAAAAGTTCAGTTTATGACTACAGCCCTGTTTTAATTACCGTACTCTGGATATTTTTTATCATCTCCACAAAATTGAACAAAAACGCTGTAATACCCAAACTGTGACACTAGGTGGCAAAAGAAGGCCCACGTCAGCAGAAAGAACCCTCCGAGCTCAAGATCCTCCGAGAACAGATTAATGTCAGAACACAAAGTCTAACGACGACAGGATCAGGAACGCCCGATTACGTCTTAAAACGAGGGGCAGAAGTCCACCTGACCTGGTTCAACTGGGTGGAGTCGACGGTTTGAATCCTGGGCAGATTCAAATAAATCAGAGCCTGAAACCAGAACTCGTATTTATGAATCTCGTTCAGTTCGATCTCAGACTCGACGTGTTCAAACTGCTCACACTCCCCGAGATGAGGAGCAGAAAAAGGACAGATCCACTTTTTTTTTTTAACTCGTTCATAAATTTTGCTCCCTAAAACGTACATTTTGACTTTATTCTGATTCAAGTTGGAAACAGTTGAAACACCTAAAAACAACTTAACTTGATTTAACAAGAGCTTAAAAATAATTAAGTACTGATGATGCGGAACATAGAAACATTTAAAGACTTTCAGACATGCTCCGCCCGATTTAACATCACGGTCTGTGCACGGCACATTTTCCTGTTCCCAACAATCCCACAACTTTCTCCTGAAACCTGCTGGTTCGTTCTCGCAGAGTCCGGACGTCGGGCGTTTGTAGCGACGGATGTGTGCGGTTCTTTGCTGCCTCTAAAAGCCATAGAGACTTTCTGCTTTTCGTCTTCTCGTCTTTGTCCCGCTCTTTCTCTTCTTGTATATTCGTAAATTTATTAACCGTTCTGAAATATTTAAACTTTCTATCACTGATCACGAACACTGAGCAGCTTTTCTATACCCGTCTGCTTCTTTCGTCTTTCAGTATTTCTTGTAAAGATTTTAAAAAACGACAGGCTTTACGTCTTTTCATGGTTGTTTTTGTTCATGATACCAATTTAAAATGTTCTTTAAATTATTTTAACTTATTAAGACGAGTATTACATTCTGTCTCCGTGTGACTGCAAGTAAAACTGTAAAACTTTCATTTAATTTAAGTGTGAACAAAATATTTTGCCTTTTTTTTTTTTTTTTTAAGAAAAAGATCACTGTACCATTTATGCAAATACTAACATGTTTGTTGTTTAAGTGTTTTCACTCGTGAGCTCAGACTGAACATTTTAACCAAACAAATTCTTAACTGGAGACGGTTTTAAATGTTTTTCTGCTTCTGGACTTTCAGCTTCCACAGAACTAGAACAAAGTAGAACTACACCAACAGCAAACTATTCCTCAGGTCACAAAAGATAAGCCAAGGCACAAGTTTACAAAGTCAGAACAGCAGATAAAGTCACAGAACTGGGTTGGTTGGTAGTTTATGGTATTTTGAAAACTAACTTAATTCCAGCCAGGTTGTTATAGACTCTTTACATTCATGTATGAAGAATGTACCTCCTGCAACTTCTGCTGCATTTCTTTGGTGTTGAGGTATTTTATTCTGCAGCGACACCTACTGTTCAGGAGGGGAACTGCAGGAACCATGACAACTGCATCTCCACCATAATGATCCAGCTGTTCTGTTACTGATGTGAAGTCTGTTCAACAGAACAGCTGCTTCCCTCTCCCTGTGAAGAAATGCTTATCGCCCGCCCTCCAACCTTTAAACAAAGATCTGTTCGAGCTCACAGTATGTGATGGGGACGACTCTCGGCTACTACCACACCAAAGTTTAGCTTAAAACCTACAAATCTGATATTTATAGCCAGGTATAATCAGAGTTTAAATAACTGGAGACCATTTAACCCGACAAGAAACCAGCAGAACATCAGAACCAATGTGTCCAACAGGTTCTGATTCTGAACCTTTAATCTTAAACAACAAAAAACCTGATTTAAATCAAGAGCCTCGTCCATCAGAGGACAGTGACTGGATCCTGCATCCCTGTTCGATGAGAACCGGGTCAGAACCGTGTTGGTCTACTTCTTCTTGTAGTTCTGTGCCAGAGGCCACGTTCTACGTGGGAAACGGTTTTTATTTCTCCAGCTGACCTGTTGGCTGTTCAGCTTTCGGATCGTCACACACTGTTGCTGCATGTTTACTCTGTCTCACTAACACACACACACACACACACCTCGGCCTTTGTGCACTAAAAGCAATACAAACCGAGCCGATCAGTAGCTCCACAGAGAAGTTGACGGTTGTTGTTGCGTAAAGTTTGTTTTGAATCATTCTGACGACGACGAGCTCGAACACTTATTTTTATAAAGTCGCACGCCTTCGTTTCCTCCGTCTTCCCATCTCTCCGGTTCATCGTCTCTTTATTCACCTGCATGAGTCGGGTGGAACTGACGTCTATGCAAAAACTTATTCTGCGCTTCGGCTCGCGTGAACAAAGTTCTGCAGACTCACGACAGCTACACCCTGAAGAGTGAACCAGAATCTGTGAAGGACCCGAACGTGGCTCCGGATGTGTGGAGGTGCCACAGTTCCTCCCCTCCAGGTCCAGCTACTCCAACCAAACAGAAAAAGATCTCCTGAACTACCGTCTTCTAGATGGTTCAAAGTGCAAACACAGAACTGGACTGAACAGAACCACGGCTGGTTAGTCTGCAGGAGGTTTGGATCAGAAGGTTTGGATATCGGAGTCAATCTGCAAAAGACAAAGATGGAGGGAGAGCACTGTCGGGAGCAGACGTCAGGGAGGTGGAGCTCCATAAAGATGGAGCTCAGACACACGACGTCTGCTACGCCCGTCACGTCACCGTTTCACCTGATTTCAGTCACTTCGGCTGTTTCTGCAGGTGAACGAGCACCTGCAGCAGATGGAGGCCAGTCAAAGTTTAGTTGAACTTAACCTTAGACATGAGAACTCTGAGCAGGTCCAGTCTGGACTAGACATTACTGGTCCATGGTGCCAAACGACTGGTTCTATGACCGGAACAGCCTTTAAAATTATTTTCTGTAAATCCTCTGCTGACCCAGCCTTCAGTGTCTCACGACCTCCAGTAGTTTTGGAAGCCACAGCTCTGGTGAAGTTATTTTAGCTGAAATTAAAAACATTAAAGATTCTTCATGAAATCAGCAAAGACGACCCGAACGCTGATAAATCTGATAAAAAACGAACCGCGCCGCTCGTTCAGAGGCAAACGGGACCAGAACTGGTCCTCTTCAGGGTGAAGGTGTTGGACCGGTCTGAGTCCAGGACAGCAAGAGAAGGTTTGTTCTGGATCTTCTCAGAACCAGGACCTGCTCTCAGATGTGTAGAAATCTGGTTTTGCACTTGAACAGAACTGAATCATGATGAGATTCTCTGGTGAGCTTAGGGTCCAACCACCTGTTTTTATTTCTGCATCCTGGTGGGGGTCAGGGGTGGGAGTGTGGGTTGGGGGGTCAGGGATGAGGGTCTGCTTGTCTGGACCTGCTGTCTTTGTGATTCTGTTTTCCTTCCATTCATGCCATGTTCTAATAAAGTAACACTGAAACTAAAAACACGACTGTTTTATTTCAACCAGTCTGAAACCTGCAGGATGGGTTCTGGGTCCAGGAGGGCTTATCAAGACCAGCTGATCTGGGTCCAGGAGGGCTTATCAAGTCCAGCTGATCTGGGTCCAGGAGCAGCCTGGTCTTCATCAGGTTATTGTCCAGTCTGAGCTGCTCAGAATGGAGGGTTAGATGTTTATCAAGCGTCCTTCATCAGAACCACACGTTGGTTCTGAAGGGGTCAGATGTCCAACAAGGCAATAAGACCTGATCCATCAGGACTGTGGAGGCGGCAGAAAACGATCTGATGAGAAGAAAGGAAAATCAAACATTTTGATTCAAGTCCAGGGCAGCCTGAAACATGACGGGACAAAAAGTGGGTTTTAAAGGTTCTGGTTCTGGACGACTGTGGGAAACATCATCTGAGCAGAGCAGACGTTTAGACAGATTAAAGATCTGATCTGCAAATGAAGATCAGCACATGTGACGGGATGATCCAACAACACAATGTTCTGGTTCTGAAGAAAACTTCTAGGAGACGCCTGAACTTTGCTCGTCCTTTGACTGAAAGTGTTGGAGACAAAACTCAAAGTTGACTTTCTGAGCACTGACTCGAAGGTGTCGGCATGCAAAGACCCAAAACAGACCGGGTCAGACCAGGTCAAGATGCTCGTTTATATAAAAATTAAATTAAAACTTTTCAAACACAAAGTCCAAAATAAAAAGAATAAAACCGACTAAGATCAAAACTTTAAAAAAAAAAAACCACGTGAAAATGTTAAACTGAAATTAGAAAAAGGATTTCCTGTGAAGCAGAGAACTGAAGCTGAACAGCAGCTAAACCTGAATGTAGCTAAAAGGTCACTAAAGTCTAAAATTAGCCAAATTTAGCTAACGCCATCCAGAACTGAAGAAACGGACCAAACAGAGTCCTGCACCTTTGTGACTTCTGCTCCTTATAGCCTCACTGTTCCACCTGTTCCCTGTTCTCACCACAGATTACGATGTCATCTGCAAACATCAGAATCCACGAGGATTCCTGCCTGACCTCATCCGTTAGTCGGTCCATCACCAGAGAAAACGAGAAGGGGCTCAGAGCCGATCCTTGATGCACTCCCACTTCCACCTTGAAGCTATCTGTCACTCCTACAGCACATCTCACCACTGTCCTGCTGTCCTCATACATGTTCTGTACCAGTTTAACATACTTCTCTGCTCCAATGCCGTGAGCCTTGTTGCCCTTCCACTTGGTCTCTTGGACACTTAAAAACATCTACCTTCCTTCTCTGCATCATGTCAGCCAGCTCTATTTAGAGTTGCCAACCTCAGTCCTACATTCTTGACTTTCCTCTTCTCCCTCCGTCTCCCGAGTCCTGACATTTCCCTCCTCATGGTCTTCAACCAACATCAGCACATTTTCCACCGGCACCCTGTTTGTCAACAGCACCGGTGGTTGTCGTTAACCCGGGCCTCCACCGATCCTGTGTGGTTTTGCTTTGATGAACACGACGCATGTTAGTTTTGGCAGAAGTGTTTTACATCAGCTGCTCTTCCTGACACAAAACCCTCTTACCCCGTTTTGGGACCAGAACCAGAGAAACACTGGCTGGTTTATAATAAATTTATATTTATTCTTGTTTATTGAACTAAAAACGCATGAAGTTGTTTTGGTTTCCACAAAGTCCAGAGGCCTCCTTTGATCTTAGTTCAAAACCGTTTTAAAGTTGGTTTGTTTTACTGTTGCACTGTGAACAACAACAACAACAACAACAACAACAACAACAACAACAACAACAA